CGCGATTTGCTGCTGCTGTTGTTGCCGCCGCCGCCGCTATTGATGCTGATACTGCCGCCGGGATTTTCTTTAGCCTTCATCTTCAGCACTTCAGAGACTTCAGGACAGACTGCCCCTGTCCGGTCCGATCTGGTCACTATATGAAATACCGACGCTGTCGGCGGCCCCGTTTTTGTGGTCCTTCTGCCGCATCGCTGCTGCTGCTGCCGCCGCTATTTTGATGATTGTCGTTCTTAGCTATGGCTCCTGCTGTACCCCTGCGACCAAGTTCCTGCTCGCTATTCTTTATCAGACGGTTATGTCAGCCTCTGAAGTTGGCTAGCTTCCTGTTTAGGTACGATCCCCGCAAATCGACCTGAATGGCCGTCAGAGTAGCTGCTGCTACTAGAAAGCACCCAGAGATCGTTTGCGCAAACGGATCGTAGCGCCATGACTGTGTCTTTGAGGGTGGCCGTTTGGAAGAAGGCACGAGGAGCAGACGGGCACCCACGATGGCGTAAACTAGCTAGCGATAACAACACGAAGATGACAACAGTCAACAGGACCACCACGAGCGCGCGGAGGTCTAGGCCTGTTTTTGACGTTACACCGACCTAGTTAGTAACTTGGACTGGGCAGGGCGGGTCTGACCTGAAGACGGTCACCCAGAAAAGGTTGAAATAGCCCTTCACAGACGTAGCACAGAAGACCTCAGGGTGCTTTCGTCTATTGTAAAAGGTGCCTGTAGGGAGCCGCCGAGTAGAATGGATAGCTGTATGATGATAAACTGTCATTGGCATTTACATTGAAGGCTGTGAGGTGGTGCAAGTTGCTGAGGATGGTGGGCGATTGAAGATGTCATGTTTCATCAACTAACCCTTTAGGCCGAAGTAGCTTCACGAAATTTTAAAGTAATTTCAAGAAGTACTTCTATATAAAAGCTCACTGTTAGCTTGACTCCGCAAGCTTGGTTAGAAGCAACGTGTTTCTTGTTATGGATTATATGTCTTTTCTATGCATATTCCTATGCATAATATTAACATTTTTTGCGATTATAACTGAAGTAGGACGTTTAAATTGCTCTCTCTCTCTCTCTCTCTCTCTCTATATATATATATATATATATATATATATATACACACACATATATATATAGTGCAGAAAAATGTTTAACTACTTTTTTGGTCCTTATCTTTAGTAAATGCTTATCGTTCACAGGATTCTTAATATTTAATACTATATAATAATGTTTACTTTTCGCTAATTTATAGGCATAATGTATTTCTCTGTAATATGGTTCGTTACTTAATATTTCTCTTATTGTACAACCTGTTTTACGATTCTGCTATACAAGTAAGCAATAGAAGCATCGATAGGCTCCATTGTTATGCTAAGCGTCTCTTCCGAAAAACGCAGTACTTGAGTTATCGAATCGGTCATACGTGCTCATCCCTAATTGATGAAATCACATCGAGGACACTGTTTATTAATGAAGAGGAGTTCGAATGCCAAAACGTTACACACAGGCAAAATGACGCTGACCTTAAGGTTATAATACTGCATACTGATTTGATACGGGATTTGTGGTGCAAGCAGATACTATATGGATACATTTAGAATTAATTTTTTTTACGATCTTTATTGGTTGATCCGAAGATTCCTAAATTTTCCCGAAGCCTGCAAACAGCTAGCTACTCAAGTATCCGTAGCAAAATATGGTAGAGCCGGAAACCCGACAACCCATATTTGTGCCAAGTCAATACCATTTCGGCTCGCAATCATTTTAAAATGATTTTTTTTATAGGGGGCATACTTCTGACGAAGTTTTTTCAATGTCCACTCATTTTATCACACAACCGTACGCCACCGCCATCGTCGTCGATGGCGAGCCATCGCACAGTCGTTATGCGCAATTTCCTGTTTAGTCTATGATCTTCCTTTGAAAAAACAACAGTCGGGGCTCAGGTTAAAAAATCCGAACGTCGTCCTCGACGCCCGTTTAAGCGGTCGGGAGTCGGGCAGCTCCAACTTCAGATATCGCCGCCGCTACTATGAAGAGTTCAGCTCAGCTAGTTGTCTTCACAGCGTGTGATTTTCCCCTATTGGGTGCTTAGTGCTTCGCGGAAGAATCCCGTAAATTAGAACGCTCAAAAACAGACCACGGCTAAATCGCACAATCGTAGTATTTCGTATCTGTATATACTACGGTTACACATACCAAGTACGGTATGCGTGTATAAACAATGAGTTACAACACACACAAATGGGAGCTAGAATATCTAGGTAAGCTCTTCTTGTGATTATTCATTACGCTTGCGATACCCCCGTGCAAAAGGGAAACTCCTGTAGGGAGTTTTTTTTTTGAAAACCCTTTTTGAAAACCGCTCGATGGTGGTACCTAAGGTAGCCTCCAACAGACGCACAGGTCGTTAAACTGCGCTGTTTATGGAGGAATAATGGCGACACTAAACGCAGAGCCCGTCTTCAAATTAGCAGCGTGATTGGCGTAAGAAAAAGATACATGTCCCAATCTGCTGCAGCTATAATACTATTAGTTTTTAGGTAAATTTCTTGTTAAAAAGATTCAAAATCTATGTTTTTTTTTAAGAAGTGTGGTGTATTATCGCCAAATACGCACGTACTATATTCAATTCAACGATAATTTTACGGATTTGGAGATCTTACGGGGAGCACTAGCGCAACCCTAAAGATACAGTGTCCGTGCTTACACGCATAACAACTATGCCATCATGGCTTTTAATATAAACTCGAGTAAGAATCATGTTATCCTTAACAGATCCCCTTTCTCAGGTATATCTCGGTGTTTTTGTCTTTCTGCATTTTATCAGTTTATGCCAGCGCCATATCAAATTGTCACTCTCGTCCGATGCACGCAGTCCACTCCGGTCTGATGAGTACCAATCCCTTTACAATTACTTTAGTCTGTGGGTGGCTAGGCAGCACCCCGTGCGGGTGCCGAGCCCTACGATGGCCTTTTGGCCAGCATCTTAGCTTCAATCCGCTAAGTAATTCTTCTTTTATTGGCTCATGGTTACCGGTTCTGATCCATTTCGGCAAATGTTATTGTTCAGTTCCCGATGTACAAGCAAATATACACTTCTGCTCATATCATCTCCGACAGATCGTATCCTTTGAATTCTCGAGATGATTTTAGACAGGCGCCCAACTCGTTATGTTCGCTCGATCTAGATGGAAGGATACGCAGCATCTTGTATATGTGTCTATACTATAAAGCAGAACTTGCAGACACGGATGCGGGTTTGTACCTGAATGCAAGCAAAAGCACCCCTTGAAAAAAAGGCTTCAGGACGCTTATGATCAGAAATCGACGAAACCCGGACCGCCTGGGACGTTCGAGTGAAGCTGAGCGCACTCGACTCACGATAGCGTCGTCTCACATGCAGTCTTCACCCAGTCTAGCACACCAGCACATCTCTTTTCCAACGGCGTCGCCTTCACCCTCGATGCTGAACTCTTACGCCTTGTTGATGCTGGCCTGTTTCACTAGCTATTCATTTCGAGGATGTCCCAACAATCATATCGACAGTCCTTCGAAGTACTACTAGTGCGTATTGTACTTCAGAGTGTTGCTGTGTAAGACGCACCGCGTTTGGAACGCGTAGGCCACTGGTTAGAATGAGAGGGACTGAAAGAGGTTGTCTCTGCAGTTTCTATTTCGACAAAGTCTAGGGCCGACAACGTGAAAGACCAAAGATTCTAATACGATTTTTATTGGCGCACCCGAGCCTGATTCTGTTACTATTGGCTGTTGCAGCCGTCGTCGTCGTCTCTGATATTGCTGTCCCTCCTTATAAGCGCTGTAACCAAATGCTGTTATTGATTTATTTAGTTATGCACCTTTTTCTTTTTTTGTTTTGTGTGAAGTCCTCCTAAAATAAGGCCGAGACGAAATGGCCTGGTCTGAATGAAAGGTTTGGCTTGGCTTGCCTATCCCACAAAGAAAGTACTACTCTGACGTCCAGCGTAGGGTATCTGGTGTGATGTGGTGCGGTGCGATGCGACGCACTACTGGCCTGACTTCAGATCCAATCCAATCGCATCGATCTAGCGTTTCGATCTTCATGGGTGAGAAAAAATGCTGTTCTTGAAGGAATGATCTTTTCCGCGAACAAGTTGATTCCGTTGCACGACGAAAGCCACAGCTAAGCCATTTTCGCCATTTCTCTCATTCCTTCCTAGCTCACCATCTTTACAAAAGGTACACACACAGCTTCACACACATAACTACCCAGAGGATCGAGAAAACTTAGCGAAAATCGACAATGTTACTAGCAATATCGTGCTAAATCGATTCCAGTCACTGATCATTCTGTGAGAGGCTTAAGTGGATGAGAGCAATGCAAGAGCTTCATTCAAAAGTATTGTTTGACCATTGTTTGTCTCCGTTTGTATTCAAAACCTGTTGCAGACCAATAGAAGTATCACTACAACTAGTAAATAGTAGAATTATGCACCTCCGCCAATACGGCTCTAGGATGCGATATTTTTAGATAAAACAAGGGTCGACCACCAACAAATAACACGGGATAGCAGTTCAATTTTGATGAATAGCTTGTCTACAGATTCTTTTATACGGCAAAAAACCTTGATATGTTATATTTCATTTTAATTGTTTGATATGCAGCCAATGAACGGGCCCTATGTGATTCAAGTGGGCTTTGTGATGACCGCAGATGTGTTCCAGGTACTTTGCGGGTGTCCATTATTGCAACAGGAAGCATAAGACGAGTTAGCGGGCTTTGAATTGATGGCGTCGATCATTGATTGGCAATTGAGGCTGAATCATTTGTGAGCAATTTAGAAGATATTCCTAGAAGTTCACTAGCCCCCTAGTTACTATTATCATTATTATTAAATGAAAATCTCGCATAATTTCAGTCGTTTAGTTGAATAGAGTTTCACGTTATTTTAGAGAAGTCAAAAGAACCGCATTAATCTGAAAAACGTTTTATTTACTACGGCAACGTTTGCGTTTTCAGAGATGCAGAGATAAGCTAGACACTCTGGCAGTGTCTGTTATGACGCAATGGCCCGGTGTTAAGCTCCGCGTAATCGAGTCGTGGGACGAGTACTCGCATCACAAAAGTGGTTCTTTACATTACGAGGGTATGTAGTCATTATTGAAAAACAGGAAAATATGAGTAGTTTCTAGTTGTAGGTGCCTAAGTGATAATAGTTTGGGCATAACGAGAAGTCGTGCGTTTAAAGAATGTAGTATATGGGCATTCTTTGAAACTTCTTATTCTTGGTAAACTTCAACTGCACTTGGCCTAAACAAGCAAACATTATCTCCACTGCATTGAAATCTTCATTTTAGGCAGAGCGGTGGATTTCACGACGGACGATCGTCACCAGGCCAAATATGGAATGCTCGCGAGACTCGCCGTGGAAGCAGGCTTCGATTGGGTCTATTATGAAACGAAAAGACATGTACACGCTTCAGTGAAGCCTGGTACGTCGCATGCTGGAACTCCAGAAGCCGCGAATTATGTTAGCCGTGCCATTAATTGTTTCTTATACTTATTTGATTTATAGTGTCATTTTAGCTTAATAGGCTCAAATTCAATGCAATCTTTCAAATTATCCTAGCATGCAGCTGCCAATACCCGCTCTTACGATAACGAAGCGCACTCCTTTTTTACTTTTTGTTTTGCGTCAAATTTCTCCGCTAGATTCGATAAACGAGCGCAAGACAGCCAGCTGCTTCGAGCGATCGTCCATCGTACAAACCCGCAATGGCCCTCGGCCAATGTCTGCGCTTCGTATTCAAGACGAAGTTCTTTCGTACAACAGTGACGAAGGCATATTGGAGTATTCACCAGTCATCACGTTTTTAGATCGCGACCCGACCCGCAAAGAGCTGTTTATTAAAATCAAGACTGAATTTGGTGAACAGCTAATACTCACACGGTATCATCTCGTCTACCGACAGGAGTATGACGAACGACCCAGCGTCACGTACGCCGCTCGCATTTTACCAGGGGACAAAATCCTAGTGTTGCCAAATGTCGAAAATGTTACAAGTCCTACGGAATTCGCTGATTCTTCGGAATATGCTAAAGCACCTCTGGGCAAACTCCGTCCGACAAAGGTTCTCGCTGTACATTACGTTCGATCGAGGGGGGTTTACGCGCCGCTGACGACAACAGGAACCATCGTCGTCAACGGTGTCGTCTCCTCGTGTTACGCTCTAGTCAATGATCATCAACTTGCGCATCGGGCATTTGCACCAATACGGTTATTGTACAAGCCGATGTTTCTGATACGTCAATGGCTCAGCTGGTTACGAGAGATCATTGGGAACAAACAACAACAGAAGTTTGACCAAAAACAGGACAAGGACGCTATGCCCGCGCCCTCGGAAACCGATCGCAAAAAGCCGTCCCCACTAGGGAAATTCGCACAGGCTCTCTTTGGTAGCTTGCCAGTAAACGCAACCGATTATGATGTCGAGTCAGTGTGGACTACAAGTAGTGACTTCGTCCGCGCTGACGGCGAAGATTTGGATGATCCTGTAGATGAGTACACAGCCTCATTCCGTGGGGTCCATTGGTACGCAGCCTTACTGTATTATCTCTTTCAGTCAACTCTCACTAGTTATATGCCATAAAGGGCAAAAGAAGCTTATCAAGCAATGGAGTTCAGTTACGCCTTGCCGTGTGACCCACTGATTTGTTTTTGGCGACTTTCTGAGAGAGAGATTTATTCATTCGGATTTTTTCACGCTAATTAAACATAGCATGCTGTTGTCCACAATGGCGGGAAGGTGCAGCTAAATACAACAACAACAACAACAGTAACAGTAAAATTATGCAACTGGACCAACGAAATTCCTAATCTTTCACAAAGCGAACGCATCACATTAGCCCGGTTCACATATAACCATCTATTTATATATTTATGCATCATTTCCGAAACAACCAGTTTGTTCGCAGGGAAAAGTTACGCCCGCTTGCCCAGCAGGTGGCGCGTGTGTGGGTTTGTGTTTCACAAAGACATATTGACACAGTTCAGTAACGTCTATTTGTATGGTTCGTATTGCTTTAGCAGCCCGAGCAAATGGGTTGTCAAAATGCTACCTCTCGGTGAGTCTCATGATTGGTACGCTACGTACACATCCATGTGTTGACCCCATGCTTGTTTTATGCTCTTGGTTTCTATATATTATGTAAGTTCTAGCTCTAGATGAAATTTACATACGAAAATTACACCCCGTTAGAAATGTGTTTGCACGTACTCTTTACGTACATGAAATGAAAAATCCAATAGATCCATTTGCTAGCTCATGTTTGTAGTTAATTCATTGAGCACAGTATTGTTTATTAGGTGCACGACATAGCATACATGATCGTATGAGGTCGATTATCCCTATGCTTGGAAAATGCGAGGAAAAATCGTACTGATCTTGATCATCGATCTTTTAACTCTAAAATTGAACAGCCAGTCCAGAACCGCTTTCTTGTACTATGTAAATGGTCAGTCAGTTGACAGTGAATAATCCTTTGATGGAGCAAACCTGCCTTCATTAACGTGAACGGATATGAGCTAGTAAGCGAACCAATACGATGTTTTTTTACGATTTTATGTTTAATTAGCGAGTTCATGTGCTATTTAGGGATAGCCAACGAGAAGACTGTAGCGATGTCATGTTGTCCTGCTACGATGACGCAAAAAGAAACCGATTTAACCCTGCAACCCCTTCCTACAAGTGTTTTTGCCCGTTTTCTAGTCGTCTCCAGTGCTCATACATACCTAGTTAGAGAGAAATCTCGAAGCATCTGTACCGGAGAACCCTTCGTACGAAGATTTGTTTAGTTCGCAAATGACTGCTAGCCTTATAGGGCATCGCCTTCTTCGCCAATTCGCTCAATATAACAACAAGCATAATTCGCTCTCTAACAAAAACTGCAGCCTTCATTACAACAACGTTATTGTAAACCTAAGTAAATGCATTTAAGGCCATGGTATGGTTAGAAATTTTATTTTTAAACTCTTTGATTTAACCTAGTCGATCTTTTCTAGTACTATTTCTAGTAAAAAAAAAAAAGAAAGAAAAGCAATTTTTCTCATTTAAAACAATCATAAGTAATCCTAATTGGAAATGCAGATTTTTACACGGCGAATCAATAACAGAAGGTGCTGGCTAGCTATAAATTAGTTCGACGACCAAATGTATATATCATGTCGAATTCAATCCTAGAGTTTCTTCTTCTATGTGTATATACATCTTTATTTACAATGAATAACCTAAATAAATATATCGTGTTTGTGTGTACATACATATCGATAGGCTTAAGCCGAATTCCTCAAGCTGATTATTAATACAAATATAGAAAGAGAGGTATATAAATACGTCGTGAGGAAACTTCAACTTGAATAGCACCAACAGAAAGCGGAAAGTTCAAATTTTAAAGGAATGTTCTACAAAGGATAGCCGAACACCGCGCACGATTCTACCTTAAACAGCCCAACCGTAAACATGCAGTGTGTTCATGCAGGGAGGCCGGGCTATATGTGCTCGTATATGGAAATATGATGACTATACAGGCTGACTGACTTTTAAATGTTAATACTCCTGTAAAGCCTCTCGAGCACCTCACTAGGTTCTATTTAGGCCTGAACATGGCAGGTTCACACATCAGCATGCAAGGTTATTATAGACAGAACAAAGAAGCTGATGGATTTATTTATTCAAGCAAGATGCAGAGAGAGGAAGACATATGGACGAACGATAGAGAAGTATATATATAAATATATAAATATATACATATATATATATATATACATACATATATATATACATACATACAACTCATTAGATACAACAATGGATGCTAAACATGCTTCTAGAAAAGATAAATAAATCAATGATTATATGTTGGAATGAGAATCAAAGAAACTTTTTTATATTGATAGCTTAGTTAGCTTATGTTTATAGAGCTAATAAAGATAATTGTTATGTTGGCTCCAGTCAATCGATTATTTCTCAAGATCCTATATTATATAATAATACTATATAATAATAAAGATACATTTTCGTGTTCGAAATATTGCTCAATTGCTAAACAATTTAGTCGGAAGTGCTTTATGTACACATTGCAGCAGTTCCCCTATAAACGATTTCCTGATTTTTTTTTTAGATTTTTGTATCCTGAAATCATGCTTTAAAACATCTCACCTTCACGGCACTTTAAACTGTTCCACAGTCTTGACTCGCAAACAACTATAATGGAAGACAATAATCCAAAATGTCTGGGCATATGCGAATTTTCACTTACACTATATCCTCTTTTTAAGCTCTCTATCAACTTTCGAACTTCCGGGAAACTTTTGTCTGATAACCTCCACTTTTCAATAAACTAACATAAATATGCTGTTTAGCCAAAAATGAACAAAATCGTTGGCTTTAAGTTGTCGGTGCTCAAATTACCTATTTATGCTAAATACGAAAAAAACTACAAATCAGACAGGGTTTGCGGTAGTTCTGGGTGATGTTGCCCTGCAGATAACGCTTCTGACATTCGACTGTAGTCTGCGGGACAATTCACAATATTATACAAGCGCCTGAAACGCGTTATTAGGCTCTTGCGAGATCGTCTTTCTTTAGCTGGAGCTTAGGAATAATCGATTTCTGGTATACAGAAAACAATTTACGGGTAAAGCATTCACGTGCACATGGTTTGCCACTGTTAAAATTTTACGATCGTCAAGTGATCTTTATTGCTCGTTGTACTCAGACCAATTTACCTGGGTCTTGAGGCCGTTTCACGGAAAATCGCTTAAGCATGCCTATATGGTAAGCAGACGTAGCAAATTAGTGCCTGTATCTGGGATTGGAACCCAATAATGACAAAAATCAATATACATTTTTTTACAACAACGGTTAACTCTATTTGTTAAAATGGGTCAAAGGTCAAAATGAAAAATAATCTGTTTCGAAACATCTAAATAATTAAGACAGCTTGTAAAGCTGGCTTACAGCGCTCCTGTATCTTACGCTGCATGACAGAATGCGAAAAAGTATTCTTGTGAGAGTACCAAGAGTACCAATTTCTAAGGACAGGTAATCTTTCTGCTTACAATTATTATTACAGTCAATGGACCCAATGGTGATTGTACCCAATATCGAGGCATGTTACTTGCTAGTACTTAGAAAATCTTAGTTGGGTGTCTCACAAGTACGCTGCACAAGGTAATGTTTGATAACACTGATTTGTGCCATGATTTTCGAAAATTACTGAGATATCTACTCGTACATATGGACATTATTTCGTCGGGCATAGCGATCTTCACAAAACTATTTACGAACCACCGTACAATTCCGATGAAGTAGATGACATCTACTTGATTTTTCTTTATTCAGTTCTACTTGTCGTCTATTGTATGTCATTGCTTTCGTTTTACATTGCATTAGAAGGCTATTTTAGTCGAAGTGAGCTGGCCGTACGCGTAACTAGGCCAAGATTGGACGAATTGACAGGAATCTGCTAACACAATCCACTTATTCCATGCTCTATAGCGGCTTTTCCATTATTTTTAACTGTATTGAGGAGCTAAAAATCGGCCAAGCTATTGCAAAACAAACGTTTCGAATTATACGGCCACAAATGTGTAGGCATCATATCGGACAGCTGGTACTTCAGGCTGAACAAACACTTCTATCTCAACTTTGAACCAAAACATTGACATGTGCTTAGGTTCAACAAACAGCGCATTTCGGAAGGGTCACATGTAGCCTGTTGTGCAATGCTGCCATGCGGAACCCGAGCTCTGCGCGGGTTTTGCTCGTCACGAGTCGTCTGCTACGGGGCAAACAGCTATGACGACGCTCAGCACCGTTCTTGTGTTCGTTTAACAACAACTGCGTTTGCCCTGTACTAAATTCGACCGGTAGTGTATTCAACTGACCAAACCTAAAACTCATCGCTCATTTTGGTTTGCAGTTTGGCCTGATGAATGATGTTTAATCACCTACAGAAAAAAATATTGTGGAGCTGATTATAAGGTGACAAATTAAGATGTGATGTTTGAATTTGAAATTGTATTGCCACGATAGCATGATGGCAAATATCGCAAATGGGAGAAATGTTATTTTTGCAATAAAATCTATGTTGTAATATAAATTTATACTGTAGTTATGGCCTGTCAATACTTTCTCGTCAGTTATGACGTGTAAAAAATGCGCAAAAACATTTACGGACCCGTAGCTTGTAACCGAGTGCCAACTGTGAGTATGTATTTAGTTGTGCACAAAAGAAAATATGTTATTGCCGTTATGACGTGGACTTCAATGATAGCCCGTTCTTATCGAAATCTTCCTGAAAAATATCCCTATTTCACCATAATTGGGGCTGTAACTCTGTTATTCATTGAGGTGGAGCGGACGTGAAAATACGACATGAATTCTAATTCACGTCTTGTATCGTGTCTAGATCATTTTTGCTTGAGCTGCATCCGCCTCGATATAGACCTGTTCTGAAACGTATCTGATGACGTCTTGTGGAGTATATATTAAGTGCAGTTGTGATGAAAGTCTAATATGAGACGGGTGTAACATAGAACAATGTTACTATCGTTTTTGCGATTCGCAGAATGGCTATGCGCTCTGACTTTTGTCCGTAGCCGACTTCGTGCCCTCCTCTATGTTACCCTGATCGTTTGCGCATTTGCAATCCAAATTGCGTTAATTATTCAACTGTTGAACGATCCGCCAGCTTCACAATCTCAAGAACCGATAAAGACAAAATGGTCCGACTTCAGTGTTTCCCCGACGTGGCGAGCCATTCGCGATGTCATAGACACTGGACGATTAGTTCGTCTGCCAGTTTTCGCTCTCCAGGCAGAATCATCCTCTACACGATTGGATAGTGCTGCTGCTAGCGCCGAGCTAAATAAACTGGGTTGTATGCATTTTTGCACTGGTACCCGATTTCAGTTTGGCACAATTGCAACATTTTCCAACCGAAGAGAGCCTCAGTTTATCGAGCAATTGACAGCCAAAGGATTCGAGGTAGATACAGTTCGGGTTCCAAACCCGAACATGGTCGAACTGATTGTTGAGTTGACGACACATTTTGTTATTCGTTGTACCAATCCAGTAAGTCCTAATAAGGCCAACAATGCTCGGACCTCGGCGAGCCGTCGAGAAACGTCGTCCTCATCAACACGTGTGCCATCGTCACATTCGGAAATTGTGATACATATTGTAGTATTTCATGATCGCCCAGACCACTTTTGGTGGCATGCGCCTGTGCCTGCAAGCCATCCTCTACGACGACTGTTGGAAGGCCTTCCGTTTGTAAGCGTCGCCGGCGCTCACTCGAAAATCGAGATCGCCGAAGGCATCCGCGACGGCATACAGCTTCTCCTGCCTGCGCAGAGCTTTCAGGCGTCGGTAGAATTCATCGACTGCAACCGTACCCGTGCGGAAGAGTTCTTCGAGAAGAACGGCGGCCGTGACTCATCGCCAAATAGCGAACTGTTTCGTATACGGGTCCGCAAGCTTCTGCTGAAAGTGAAGATGTTGCTGGCCAAGCATTCGATTCCGTTTTGGTTGTCCTCAGGAACATGTCTAGGGTGGTTTCGCCAATGCGACGTGATACCATACACGACAGATGTTGACATCGGCGTCTTCATTGAAGACTTTCGACCAGCAATGATCGACGAGTTCTCAACGCACGATCTCGCCCTGACTCATGTCTTCGGCCATCCGGGTGATAGTTACGAGTTGTCGTTTCTTGACGTCGCCGAACAGCTTAAACTTGATGTATTTTTCTTCTATCGAGAGAGCAACTACACTTGGAACGGTGGCACCCAGGCGAGGACCGGCCATAAATACAAGTACGTATTTTCACCATTCTCTATGTGTTTGACTGAGTTCCTTGACCTACTCGTCCAGGTGCCGTGTCCTACGTTGCCGTATATCCTCGCCAATTACGGAGGAGACTGGCGCCGACCGGTCCGTCACTGGGACTGGAAACGTTCACCGCCGAATGTACGCGAAAACGGTGTTTGGCCAATGGAGCAGTGGAGTCGACTTATACAACTGTTTCCGCTGCCCCCTTACTAAAGAGATTGCGAAACTCCGACTACATTAGATTGCTAATTACTACAAGTGTTGTTTGTTTCTAGGGAATGTTAAAAATTATGTAATGTAAATATATGTGAGAAGCTGTTTTGTGCAATCGCTTGCGCAAAACCTTACTGTAAGATATTATACTAGATAAATTTAGGAGTGTAGATGCGTTGAAGTTTGTCGATACGACTGACTGCATTAATTTTTTATTTGAGAGCTTTATTAAATAGAACTATAGCGGTCTGCGTAATAAAATAAATATCAACTCGTAGAGTTTGTTGAAAAGACATAACTTTCAAAGATTTTTGCAGGATTTATTAATTCGAGACGACGGATATTACCGTTATATATTGTATAGATAAGCCTGACTCGTGAAAGACATGTTCGTAACCCGAAGTATAAAAATACTAGTGTTTACTAACAAACTAATGCAACATTGTATTCTATTATGATTACTACTCGAATGGTGGACACGTGTAGTTTATGGATAGTTTCAGCCAATTGATTTATTGGTACAGTGGAAGAATAGGAAGCGGTATTAATAGGATTCTTTTCAAGTCGATAGCTTAAAAATTTTTTTCACAGGATGCTATAAAAGGCAGACAATAGACGCGTGAATACGTCTTCAAGGTTGGTTAAACTGTGTCTCATTGTGTGTATGTATTTTACATATATATTTTACATATACATGTTTTACGATGTGGAGGGAATAAAATCTCCGAATACCATAAACGTTTATTGCTCGAGGAGTGCGTAAATCCAAGTATAAAGAAGAATGATCAAATGAGCTTCTGTATATGTATGAAAGATGTAGTATATATCCATATGCTTATATGAGCAAACTGTATATACACAAAGATACATGCGTAGTTTAAGTTACCATATATAGTATAGAATGATATACACTATATTTTAGTGGTCTTTTCTGTGTCTTCTTTAACTGTACATAGATAGCTTATATATATATATATATATATATATATATTAGGTATCGATATACCAGCACTTTAAAGGAGAGGCTTGAAGGGATTTAGAAAGCGTTCGTTCATTTCACAAAATAGATTATTTTTGTTAATTTTTTTTTAGAACAGTCCAAAGTTGAGTCAGCTAATAGTGAGTTTGATTGCTCTAGACACAACAATACCTTTTACTGCTAATAAACTATAGCAAATTTAAACCGGTGACGTAATAATGCTGTATTTCATTCATTCAACCAAACGTATATTTTATATATATATATATAGTCGTGTATGTACTTCGCTTTACAAGTACAGTTTGTACTGAAAGCTTAATGAAAGATAAAACTCATGTTGGATCATTGGATCTAAAAGCGTCGCAGTGAGTCGCTGGATAACCTTCGCGCGTATGAGGGCGGCTCACAACTACTCGTTGTAATTATAATTAATTGTGTCATATCTATCGTTAGCAAAAAATCGTTACAAATTAACAAAGTCGACGCTCTTGAAAGAGATAAAGAAAAATAATGTATTTTAGACGTTTAAAGCGAATTTGGGTAAATGGTAATTTAATAATTGGGCAGGCAGCGACTGTAAATGGAAAGCTGTAAACGTGACCCAGCCTGCCTGGGCTCTCTGAGATATTATTATATATATGTGGAGAGACAGATCTGTGAGAAAAATAAATACGTAAAACAGAGGTGAAAATATTCAAAATCTACCAAAATAATCCGTGACGAGTTAATCGAACATCGAAACGCATCGCCAGAAGGGGGATTTACGATCATATTAAAAATTTATAAACAATTTTATTTGATATTAACATCGGTATGAATACGCAGACTACTGCATGCAACGACATGAACGTAGAAGAGCAAATAGAGGAAATATGTTATAAACGTAATAGAAGGAATCCAGAACATCACAGACACACGGTGTTCTAGCATACATGATTTACGATCATGCAGGACAAAAGTTTAATATGGCTTCAATGGAATATCGACCCAAAAGGACGAAAAAAAAAAAAAAAATATATATATATATATATTTTTTTTTTTTAAGTTTTGTACATCATTTTACAATGGACATTTACAACCCAAATGGTAATTTATTGTAATGGTCCGTTTCCCAGTAATTTAAAATCTGGCGCGCAAAGCAAAGCAAATCTCGACAGGCGCAGATCGCCTGGCAGGTCCCCACAGCGCACAGCTAACAAACGCATGAACGCTGTGTTTGGCGCGCTCCCCAGCCGTGCGCTGTTGGTTGCACATCCGTAGATGCGTAAACTTGTGTTTCGCTTTTGTTTTCAATTTGTGATTATTTTTCTACTGTAGACAAAGCACACCTCATTTAAGCGATCTACTCTGTATGTTAGTAATAAATAGCAAATTTATTGTCCTGGATTAAAATCATCAGAATGAGGTATGTCTTACGTAATGCACGAATAGCAAAAATAAAATAGAACATTCATAATTGAAATTAAATACAACGATAAAGTATAATGTTATTATCGTAGCTTTCACACACACCTCGATTTAGCTTTGTTCTTAGTTGAAAATCATGGTTTTTAACATCAATTCAAAACGAATTATACTCCTCATCATATGATTTACATGCTATTCAAACGTGTACATTCAAATAAGCATTTCGAGTTAGTTATTGTTCAGACGACTGGCGACCCCCTTGCGGCACAAAAGTGTGTTAGATCGGTTCCAAGGTTAGACCACCTCACATGTCTCTGAGCTTAGTAAGCAAATATGTTGTCCCTGCACGGTAGCGAAAACAAAAGTTACGCAAGCGTTTTAAGAACCTTGCTATTTACTCCGATACTGCTATTTATACTTTTGAACGTTGCTTCCCATCGTTATTTAAATCGCCCTGGAAATGGTGAAGCGATGACACCGTTGCCGGCCAAGCAGCTTGAGTTCAAATCCGCGCGTAGTAAAAAAAATCTTTGAAGGTGGGCCGCTAGTTCACGTAGTTGACTTAATTAGATATGGAGGTAGATACCAAGATGACCCCTTTGTGCAAATAAAGTAATTTAGTATAATACGCTTATTATCTTCGGTTGACGCTTGTCTCACACAGAAGTACAGTCTTATTTATTATACCAAGCCACCAAAGAGTGAGTGCCCTCCGGCTGAAACTCTATTCAGAAATAGTTTATGTGGCATGCTTAACATGTCGTTGCAATTCGCTTTTGTCATATCAGTTTGCAGTGAAAATATCTGATTCATGGAGTGGATAAGATACTTCGTGAGGTAATGTGCAATGCGTTAAGAGTAGATGGCTGTTGAAACGCGAGTTCGCGCATGAACGTGGATGAAGTTGAGCATTTATAGCGTTCCTTAGGTAATAGCTAGCATGTGATATGGAGGAACTCCAAGATGAGATAACTCTAAGCGGCAGTAACTTCGTCAGTATAGTGGCGTTATTCATATTAGAGAAGCTAGTGAATATTAATGATCTGCCCTCTATTAATAGGTACATCTCTATATTACAGGCCTCTGTATAGGAAGTGCTACTAGCTATTGATCCGGTATATTTTTACTAAAGCAAGCTATTAAAAATGTTTTGTAGGCCATCAAAAGGCTCACAAAAATATTGGATTGAATCCGTTGACTTATTGCGACATCGTGCTATCATTATAGAGAGTGCTGTAATAGCCTTAAAATGGATTTATAGTAAATTTATTTAACAGGGCTGTAATTAACTGAAGAGCTAAGTCTTTAGTAGCGATTATGATTTTTACATTCGGGTATTATTTGTCTAATTTCAACATTGCACGGACGACATATGATAACATCGGAATATATAGATGTTAAAACAAATATTAACCTGAAGCCAGAGACATAAGAAGGTGTGAATTTTATTGAAATCACTGCTGCTAGAAAATTCTAGGTTACCTTATGTCTCAAATGAACATGATAAAAAAACTGGAAGTGAGGCTTTCAAAAGTGAGATTTACATAGTATGTTTTTAAAAAGAAAAACAAATTCGACAATATTTAGGCCATCCTAAATTTCTAGATAGCTGTGCTAGTGGATAATTAGTAAGCAAGTAAATTTTCGTCGTAGATAGCCTAACCGTAAGTTATTTGAAAAAGGCTCGTACAAAGAAAGATGAAATCGGAGAGACATATTTGACGGTCAAAGTTGAAAATATTTAAACTTACTTAGAACACTGAGCTTGTGCTGCTTTGCGTCGATAAAACACGGTTTCTAGTTAACGCATGTATGATTATCTATTTTGTTCGAATAAGAGGATAAAATGTTCTCGAATTATATCGTATGTACCAGCTTCTTAATAACATTTTCATAGGATTTTGGTTTTCGTAGGGAGTGGTAGTCTCCATGCAATACAATTAACCTTGTTGCTTGGTTCTGACCGGTCCCCGGAGTTCATAATTCGCTCATTTTGTAGATTAGCTAACAGCGGGATCAAAAAATAATGCTGGCGTTCTTATATATATGGCAAACATAAGCAAAACGGTAGGATTCTCAACAGTCAATCGTAATTTAATTCATAACTTCTTTGCGATGCTTCTGCAAACTTGACAGTTTGTTGAGATTCCTTGTTTTATATATCCATTTCTCATTGTATTAATGTTGGTTGTTCTTGTTTATATTGCAGTTTGACCGCTTTCGGGCAACTGCCAACGCTCGTTCGCGAGCTCGAAGCATCGCTTGAGTGTACCTCCTGCGGATTCACCCTTCGCGAGCCGTTTCTTTCAACCAAATGCATGCATGTTGCATGCCAACAATGCTTCATAAACATGGTACTTTTTTAATGAGGAGGTACGGGCGATCGCGACTATATGCATTTAGGCATTGGTTGGGCGCCTAGAGCAATATCCTCCTATAGTCTGCATAATGGGAGCCCAAATGTAAGACTTGCTCCTGGTAAATGAATAACCTTAATGTACTGGATTTTCCGTAGAGAGGCCCGCAACAGCTATTCGGATTATATCGCTAAACATAGTACTAGACCTTATATCACAAATCTAATAATGATGCAAAATTTTCATTTCTAACGAATTACATAAGGTGAAATTAATGTCTACATATCTGTATTGCCTCTCTCCATGTGTTTTCTTCAGGTCTGTCCGGTTTGCCAGCGTGAAAATAGCGAGTGTGAGCTTATCCCCGAGATTCGTTTGCGCGAGTCTCTTTCAACATGTCGACAACTTCAGTACGCTCTTGAGGCATCGGAAAAGCTTACCGAGGGTGCAGGTGGTCCGCTCCGTAGCACAACTCACCCAGAAAACGCCAACTGCAACGGGGCATGCGCAATACGATTTTCTTTGCATATTCGACTATTTTTCTCAATATGATTTAGTGACTGATATGTTCAACTAAAAAGACTGTATATATAAGGTGGTGGTTTGGCTGGCGATCCTACCAGTGAAACTCAGATTTCTATAGTATATATTCTATAGATTTCTATAGTATATATTCTATAGACTCCTATAGTATATATTCTATGGATTTCTATAATATATATTCTATATATTCTCAGATACCAGTGAATCAGACTTCTATTTAATGTGTGGATGATGCTGACTAACATATATTTTTAATGCTCATAGAACAAATATCTATCTCTTAGGTATATATTCGCCTTTTTGTTGTATGTAATATATAAAAAACGTTCTATTATGGAGCAAATTACTTAGAAAGGAACACTGTAATGTAAGTGCATGTAATATATATGTATTACTCTTGTAGACGTTATTCGACTAATCACTATAGCGCTAATGATTGCAGGTTTCCTCGAGAGACTGCGAAAATGATCACATGGATGGGGATATTTCTGTCTCGAAGATACCTCTGAAGAAACAAATTAACTCTTCCTCGAATTCAAAGATGAACAAAAAAAATCGGTTAGGAGAAACACCATTGCACGTCGCTTGCAAAAAAGGTCGATAGAGCAGAAATCTATTAATGACTTTTTTAGCATACATACTAACGCTTACTTGCAACTAAAGCTGATTTCAGCATGTAACTAGGGCTTTTTCATCGTATTCATTCCGAACGTGATGTTTTAGCTGCACGTAGACACCTAATAGATTCTCAGCCATTTTTTTCAACGTAACATTTATTGTATATATATGTACCAGTTGCATTCGGTACATCTGTCTAGAGAGATAAATCTGTTTTAGTTTATTAATTATGATAGCCTTCTTCTTATAGGAAATCTCGAACGAGTTAAAGAATTGTTGACACAGGGAGCAACTCCTAACACGCAGGACAATGCCGGCTGGTCCCCGCTACATGAAGTAAGTCCTCGCAGAGGCTCTGTTCAAGTCTAGGTTTTTAAAGCGTTTGTACTCAATATATTTGGTATGACACCACGCGTACCATTCGCGAGCTGTGTATTGAAATCAGCAAAAGGTCAGCTAGCCTTTTACTGACACGATAGGATTCTACGTTCTTTTGTTTGTTTTTTATTTGGATTCGCTATATGTAATCTTCTTGCAATAAGCGACACACTCTACAACAAGCCTGACCTTAGGAACTCAGCGTCGGTGAACCAATTCTGTCAATATATAGATATACATATATCTTTCCAATGTGTTCATGGCGTTAGGTAAAATTATATTAGAAAGCCTTGCATTTTACTATGTTCATTAGATATAAATTTCGATTATGCATATTGGATGGTGATTTGTGGCAATTCTCGTAATATTGACTTATTTAACTAATGTTATTCGCACGAGCTAGCATTATGTCATCTAGCATCAAGCACCCAATTCTGTCGATAAAAGTTATTTACCATATATGATATTTCGCGCTCACGGTTTTTTCATAAAGTCTCGATCCGCTGTAACCTTATCCACTACTATTTGTAAGTAAGAAAATTATAAACAGCGATCTAACCAGTTGTATAACAGTTAGGTATATGGTGCTTTCCGTAATGCTATTGATTGCAGGTAGCACAAACCGGCAATATTGATATTGCGCGACTTCTAATTGAAAACGGCGCCCAGGTCGATGTAGCCTCGGAATGCAAGACCCTACCCATTCACGACGCTGTACAGGCTGGCCATCCTGAGGTGATTCGTCTACTGCTTGAGTATGGTGCTAATCCTGAACAGAAGAATGGTGAAGGCCAGTCAGCTCTTGACCTCGCCGGGTACAATGATATCATCAAGGGTGTGGTGGTTGACTTCATGGCAAACCCTCAACGAAAGGCTATACCAGTAGTGAAAGAAAGAGGAGAACCCGGAAGACCATCACCTCCGGCGGGACCGCCGGTCATCATGTCATCCTCGTTGAAAGGTTCTGATGTCCAAGCTTTCACCAAGTGCGCGTCCCAGATTGGTGGAGAAATTGTCTCCCGATTTGACCCGCGGGTTACTCATCTAGTGGTGGCTACTGATGAAACTGGCAATACCCAACGTACGCTGAAGTTCCTACAATGTGTGGCGGCCGGCTGTTGGATTGTATCGGCTGCTTGGGCGCACAAATGTCTGGCCATGGGACGGCGTGTCGACGAAACACCGTTCGAAGTTCGTGGGTGTCGTCAGTTCGCAGGAAACGAAGCCCCAAGAAACTCCCGCGAAAACCGCGCCAGTGGTTCGTCTGGTTTGCTCAGTGGGTTCAGCATCTATTTTGCTCCTCTTGACAGTCCAATGGTGCCGTCAATTGAAGAACTGACGACAATGTGCGAGTTGGCAGGCGCCACAATACTGAAGCGTGAGCCAAAAACCCAAACAGGTAACCCTGTGAGCAGCCCTCACGTGAAGCCTGGTTCTCTTTTAGCTTCGCACTCTTCGTTTATTGTAGGAGCGCCATCTGCTGTAGTCAAAGCGGGTATACTATGGCTTAGTCGAGACTGGGTGATTGATTCGATCTCACACTTCGAACTGCAAGATATTTTTATATAAAAGCAGGCTAGCCAATCGACATGTCTTCTATGTAATTTACATACTTCTTCACCACTAAACAGGATGGCAGTAACAAATGTGACTGTTCAAGCGAAATCAGATGACAGAAACTGATATTTAAAGCTAAATATGGAACATATGAAATATATAATAATATCAATATATATATTTTACGGATTCATTATAAAAGGTTGAACTTTTTTTCGTTTTTTTTGTTAAACTCAGTGCGTGCTCATTTGTGTATCAGTACATATATTAAACACTTAAATCGTCTATATGGCATAATAACATGCTTTGACTATTTAAATGCAAAGGAATGTAAGACATGTATTTCACGTTGGATCTTATTTTGAATATATTACAATGACATATTTCCGTTGCTTTAGAGAAGTCCGTAAAACACTCATAGTTGGGAGCATCCGCAAACCTGAGAATTTATCCGCGGCAAATATTTTACGTACATGGCGGAAGGTATGTACAACATAATAACTGGTATTGTCAAACAGAAAACTAGCTGCCAGGTAACAACAACAGTACGGCATCGACATCTTAAAGTCGAGAAATTTCTAAATGTGCTGAACAGATTTTCCTCAACAAAATAGTATATACATATCCTGGAGTAAAACTTTAAAAATAATATGATCCATGGTATATTTTAATATAATGTGAATACGATAACTAGTAGCGCATATGGAGCGGGTTGCGAAACAACTCTAAAATTACTAATATTTTACGCCAATCAATTATCAGGGAGCATACAAATATATGTCTTGCGCATCCAAAATGAGTTTACCTGTGCTTTAAGACTTTATACATATATAGCCTTCTTCACGAATCCTTTCTTCATGATATTTGATAAGATACTGTTAATATAATACTGTTTTTTATTCTCTAATATTTTCTAATAATATTTACCATTACGGAATAATAATAGGAAAAACAGGGCAAAGTTCAGAGGTGTAAATTTTTCGATTTGATAATTAATTAAACATAAAAGATTAACTGAACATATGACATGCTGGTTATTTTGTTAAATCGATAGAATTACTCTAAAAACTAAAGCATCCGTCGACCAAAAATTGCATAACACTCTTAGGCAAATTGCCGGATTATGAAGAAATGTGAGGTGCGTTATTCTTCTTATAACTATTGATATTTCTTAGTCCATTTGGGTCGAGAAAACACCGCTACCAAGTGTCAAAAGCAGCAAATGCAAATCTTGTAGGTATGCTATTGTGTTGTTATTGTTATTATTTTACAGCGTAAACAAGCGACGCAATTTTATTTGGCTTACGTTGGAAAACATGTCCGGAAAGGCATTTCAACAGTACCAAATTTACTAAAAGTAGCTAGTCAACCAGCACGTGTCACAGTTCATGCCAGTCTGATTATTACGAGTTACTAAACGCCGCATGTATCGTTGTGATGTCAAGGGGGCACAAATTGTTATAGCGATATATTATTGTGCATCTGGATCCTTCTTCCAAACTCTTGCAGAAATGTATCAGTTACCTCCGTTGAATTTCTTTAGGTATTGAAGGCCAATATCGCTATCATGGACTTGCTTTTAAAGCGTTAGAGACGTTCTCCTTAAGCATGGAATGCAGCGGGCATTGTTAAGCTCAGACAACAAACCCACAACGAAACGATGAAACTTAGATGACTGTGATTTGATTATTTGTTTTGCCTATCAGCTTCCTATTAGAAAACCAAAGCAGGGATTCCCGATCCTCTCGTTGCCCCTGTGCTAATGAACGCAAGAAGAAACCTTGACCAGCAGCACACTACAGTTTCTTTCCTTAAGCAACAGCATATTCCGGCTAAAGGGCGCCATCATAAGGTCGGACTACAGTTACAAGGGCGGTACCACGCCAAACCATTAATGTCATTCCGTACGACCGATAACTATTATTTCGACTTAGGTCTATTGATTATAGCGTGCATAGAATTAGAGCAGTACGTACTACCATATGAAGACGATCCGCATTCGAACAACACGAAAGATCAAAGTGACCATGAATACCTAATCGCTTAATTACACTCTCAGGTACTTGGCGTAATTAGGGGGTAACCTACCGGCAAGCGCAGATTATTATGCATGCTTATACATTAAGCCAAATGCCGTAACAACTTGCTTAGGTGCTGAGAAGTCACGCGTGCTTCTGGATAAGACACCACAAAAGTTGCACAATTTTAACGGACTATTCCAGTGAGTACGCGCACATCCTTAAAAACAATGCCACAGAAACAACATTACTAATAATAATAATTATGGCAATAACCGCAATAATTATTGTTATTATCACTGACGGTCCCTGATCGTTCGTTCATTAATACATTTCTCGAGAAACATGCACTAATGTCGCTCTCCATTACACGTTACAGAAAAATACAACTTCACATTAGATTCAGAAAACCGACATGATGATTTTATTATTGTACGTAAAATCTATATACAGAGCCATATACACTAGATTACGTATTTAATAGGGGCTTACCTAAAAGTGTTTTTGCTGGCAGCAATCTCTTACGACTCGGATAAAATCCGCAAGCCTTTTTATCATGTTTTGTTTATAGTAGGTATTTCAATATAAAAAGATGCACAATAATAATTATTCTTATTCGTAATAGTTATTCAGAAGAAAATTAAAAAAACAATTATGACGATAGACAACATACAGAATTGATAAGTCCTGGGTTTAAAAAGCATTATGGGCGCATATTCCACAGACCCGTAAAACAATGTAGGTTACGGTAAAAGTGTCTTTGTACGCAGTTCACCAAGCCTAGGTATCTTCTGTAAGATGACCCGCTTGCAGTGCACCCAGGTCACCTTATAGAGGCTGCGTACATGTTTAAGCCACAAGGTCGTCGCAATAGTACTCGAATCGTAGACGTGGAAATCATTGAAGGATAAGACCGTAAGCCTGAAAAAGAAAATAGTTCGAAATGGGAAATATTCACTTATATTATGAGGAAATTATCTTTTTCTTTCTCCTACAAACCACTGTATGCATTGTTTGTTATTCATAACCATCACGCACCTTTTTATCCCATTATGATACGTTGAGCATCAATCAGGCGGAGAGCGACGAACACATTTGTACGTGTGACCCTTAATTAGGAAAGCGCCGATGTTCGACAACGACTAATACTGCGTCGTGCAAATCTCAAACACTTGAAGGTTTTTTGCATGCGCTTTTTTTTTCTTTACAGGCCTGAATTGTTCTTGCGGCCTTTATATGTACAGAAAAATGTAGACGAGCTCTAGGGCACCAAAAATCCACTGACTCCAAAATTTATCAAGTCACGCCAGTTTTGCATTCGCAGGGGACAGAGAATCGATAGTGTTTGTTATCTTCCAGAAAGAATTAGAGCAACAACTTTAACAGAGGCGAAAGACCTGTTACCAAGAGCATTACTTATGTATTCGATGTTCACAGCAGGGTATGTACGAGGAATAGTACGTAATGGCTACGTAACCGCGCCCAATGATTACTGGCAGATGCTTAAAAATATTATGCCTTTTATGATGGTATACGCGGAATTAATTTGCGCTCGAACGTAAAGGATAATGTAAAATCAACCTGATAAAAATGGGGTTGTTGCGGAGCTACGGCTCAGTGCTCGAAATCCTTTATATGCTTTGGCAGTGGCTTTCGGTGCGATGAAGTCAGGCAGTCGAAGTCGCTTCCAGTTTTAGTTGAGTTCTAGTTTTTCCTAAGCAGATCTTCTAGAACGATATCTTTTTCGAGCGTAGGAACGCGTGCACTGTAACCATAACCGAGTTTTCCCATTAGAGGGGCCCAGCTAGGCATATGTTCAAAGACGTTGTAGGGCAATCTGTCTGCCCACGGCCAACTACCAGAGGTGTCCTTGAGGAGCAACTCTAGAAAGGCGACCATCAATGTTTCTTTTTCTGTTCTGGGGATAACCTAAAAATCCAAAAATAACAAGACGATAGAGATAATGTCTTAAATCGGTTTATGTCATTAAAGCAATGGTCTGTGAAATTGTGTATTTGATGTCTATTTTATGTGTATATAAGTCTGTATAGTATATAACCCGAGTTGGAATTTGTAAGCGCAATTATTTATTTACTATTAGCAATACTTACAGTTCCCTCGTCGACTTTCTGCACCATTTTGTTGAGCACACGGAACGTGTCCTTCTCGAAGTCCATGACAAGGAACTTGGCGAGCGACTCGAGCGTATCTAGTAGCTTTAAAGCAATACGTTCTGCTAAAAGAAGTTGGCAAGTTTGAGCTCCCAGCCTAAGATAGTAATAACAGCCGTTACATGAAGTATTTTGTTATCAGCAAGTCATTGACTTAGTAATTTTGTTCACAATTATACGTTAGTAGATTAATTATTCCGTTCATACTGAGGTAATAGTGGTACGAAAAAAAAATGCACCTATGTGAACAGATCTTTATATAAAAAAGAATAATAAAACTATATAGAATAGTCAGTAGCCGCTTCAGTACCGTAAATAGAAAGTACAAACTTGTGGCATAGTTCGATCATCTTTTGGGTTCGAGCGTTCCAATTCTCCATCGTAACTTGCGCTTCCCCGAGAATTTCTTCGTCGTACAAACATCGATGTGAATCATTTTTGATACAAGTGGCAAGATTTTCACTATGCCGATCGAATGAAGTATATATTAACGAACGAGGGTCTCGTACAAGGAAGAGATATTTTGAGTTCCGGAGCATCCTTTTCTTAAAGCCTGCCGCCATTTCCTCGAAAGCCTGCTCACTCAGATCAGCGCATTTGAAGTTGTTTTCTTCGTCACTCTCTGATGACGACGGTATCTGTATGAAAATTCCGTACGTCAAATATGAGTATAATGTATGGAATCGAATATATAAATGATATTATAAAGATATTAGTAATCGCGGTAATGACTTTGCCCTCAAAGGTTAAAACCTTTTTTATCTGAGTTAGCCTATTCCCTTTAAACTAACGACTCCTCGCACCAAATAAACTCACAGCAAAGTGGTAATTTTGTAAATAATCAGAACACTGCAGAAAATGTGGACTAAAAGACAGTTTGCCCCGAAAGGAAAATTCCAGTTACAACATATAGAAACTCTCAGACGCAATTCATACGGAATAACTTATGCACCTGCATAAATTCGATGAGGTCATGAAAGGTGAACTCTTTGGTACACCCCCTTCCGTAACCTTGCGTATCCATGAGACCACGTACCACCCGACTTTGACTGTGGCGAGAATCGTCAAATGGTGCGAAAATGTACATAACATCACTTTCATCATTAAGCTCTGATGGAGAAAGAGGCCGAAGCGTAGAAGTTCCGGAAGAACTGTTAGTCAATGGTTTGGACTTGATTACCGTAGGACGCTTTGGAGGCTCGCGGACGGCCACTACCTCCTGCAACTGAGAATGATTTCAACAAAGGACACAGAGAAGTGACCCCAATCATCTTAATTATTTTTCTGCCAGTTTAACAAGTACAAGACTTCTATTAGATCTTCAATTTGTTAGAAGTCTCACAGTCTTCGAGAAAAAAAAACAATTGTATGCGCTTATCTTAGCAGTTATTCTATTCAAAATGATACTAGGGTCGATTTCGGAAGATCTACGCTACCGTATGATTCTGCTTTTTAAATCGTTTCGAAATAATCTATAAGTGTAATATACTAGTCTTCCTTATAGGTGAATCAGACTCCACATATAACGAAAGCATTTTGAGGCAGTGTGGGATGATTCTTAGGAAAAGTTATATTGCATTGGTACACATGTTTTAGTTGTTTTTAATAAAATGACCTTATCGGACGGTCTACTAACCTGCTCCTGCGCGGGCTTAGCGAACAACTCATCACTAGATTCGCTCTTGCTTGTATCGACGTCCCCCGATCCGCCTCCCTTACTTCTGGCATCAGTGATATTGGCAGCATCACTGGTAATTAATTTAGAGCTATCTTTACCCTGGATCGAATTGTGAGTCCTGAAACTGGCATTTGCCACCTGAAGACATTGCAAAGAGGAAAAGTATTCACTGTGTCAAAAAAACGATCTACTAGCAACACGAATCTGTAACATATCAGACACAAAATAACATGTCATATACATTTATGCCATATTACAGGAAGCTATAAGCTAGAATGTGGAAATAAATTTTTTTTCACCTGATTGGATGAGAAGGGACTGTTCTGTTGATCTTCTCGCCAGGGCATCCCGGTTTCGAGGAAAAATGCTAACGAAATAAAGGACACCGTAAACAAGACGGCCACCAAACAAACGAAACCCGGTTTCGAGCAAACAAACGACGAGCGGTCTTCTCGGGAATCCATGTAGTAGTCATCGACGCAGACGGACGCTGAACGGGCTCTGTAAGATGTGTCAAGAAGAATGACAGGTCGAAATGATGAACTAAGCGCACCGGTACACGACAGGATGGGACTGGCATATTATAACTAGCAATGTAATGTAATAATTAAGTATCATCGGCCAAACTTACTCGATACCGAATCCCTTTTTGGCAGTCAAACAGGCCACAATATACGTTTATCAACATGGGGAGCCTGTCGAAGGTAACGATCGATACACTTGACACGTTTCAAAATAAAAAACAAAATGACGGTCTGCGGTTTATTTACTATCCGGGAAATATGTTACGGCTAATCAAGATCAAATGGAAGAAATGATTGAACGAATCTTACTGCTCGATTGTATGCTTTATACGTTTAAGCCTATTATGCACCATGAGCTGATTAAAAAAAAAAACAGTTTCTTGTGGACGTCGACAAACATGAGTGACATCTACGTAAGTCGACTGCAAATATTACGACTTCACCAAAACTAAGATTCTATTACCACATCCGCTATCCATTTTACCATACGAACTATCTACATTTGCGTATAATGATTTGTATAGAAATTTAAAATCAATTATGGTAATAATATATAACGTTTCACCAAACCAGTGGCTGAAAGTATCCCTCCTTCTAAACATACAACACTGACATTAACGATTTAATCGGCCATCATGTGACGAGAGAAGGAGGGTAGGCTTTTGCTGTCCACTCGAGGAACTTTTCGTGTGTCTATGGGCAGCTGGGTTTATTTGTGAAGCGAACAGGGGTGTGCTTGGCTCCTAACTGCATTTGGTAGAAAGCATCAAAGAAGAGGACTTACGGGAAGGTGACCGAGACACAATAAGATGCGACACATCTTCTCAATGAAAGATAATAAAAACGTCACTGTGGAAAACGTGCACCGATCTCAGGGAAGGCGTATTAACGCTACGAATACAGACGTATTAAACGGAACAGCATATAAAATGTATGCATTACAGGAGATATATCAGAGCGCTAGCAATAGGCTAAAGCACTTTTTGTGGGAAAAAATATTTAATAGTCGATAGGTCAATATTAACAGTAATTTTTCGTTTTTATTTTTGTCGAAAAACGGTTTATCTGCTTCCTGGTCTGTGCAAATATCATATTTATTATTAAGCTGATATGGACGAATTAGCCAATCAATACTTAGCAGAAAGGAGGGACTACCATTATCTTCATGTGTATGTTCTTCAAAACGACGAATAATAGTAGCGTACGAGAAAAGGTGACATTTAATAGACTTAAACCAATTAAGTAGCGCTAATTGGAGAATGTAGGTAACAGCTTTAGGCCTAAGCTACTTGATAACAGCTATAGATACAAAGGGGTGTACGTGTCTTTGTGAGCTTGGCGCCATCTTGGATTGGTCGAAAACGAGTTCAATCAAAAAAGGCGCCAATCAAAGCCACACGCTCAAGGTAGTCGTACTATCCAGACGAATGAAACGATCAGTATTTTAAAATAGTGTGAATCCCGCATAAAAAAGCACTTGGCAGGCTTCATCGTCATGACTTATTCATTCTACCTACCACAATTTTAGGGTAACTGGCGGCTTCATAGCATCATTGCGGATGAAATTGCTTCGAAGATAGTTATGCAGGAATACGCACAAGGTCTGTGCATGTACGGAAATAAAATCTTATCTGTTGCGAAAATAGCGAACGTTTATAATCAAACATACGAACATCGAGTACACGTAAAAACGTCTTGATAAAATGCATAAAATAAATCTTAAGAAGTAATCGAGTGATTATTATGTTGCTGTAGGTATGCACATTAATATGAACTATACCATACTATTCATTTTTCAGCACATTATTTTCAATGTCTGACATAAGCATTGACGATAATTAATCTCGTGGTTTGAAAGTTAACACGTTTAATTGTGATGTTCAGCTGATGATGACCTATACTGCTTTCCTTAATACTAAGGGATCAGTAAGCGCCGCAATCTAGAATCAAGCCTCACCTCAAAAAAAGCTTCATCTTAAAAATATTTTTAGTCAACTTAGTGGACCTTAACATCTTGTCTTACGAACGGCCGAATAACCTTGTTTAAAAAAATCAAGATAGTATGTCACCGTGGCGCTTATTGGGTAATCGAAAATCAGGCCTAATTGGCCATCACATGAGGCCTAAAATCTGTCAAATTGTAGAAAGGGAAAAGATCGCTTAGATTGTTCGATCACATGAGCTGTCAGGTATAAGATCCGGCGGAAGGGGGCTTCCGCTTGCACTCGCGAAATCCGTTTTGCAGGAACAGGAATGGCCTATCTTTCAAATTGTGATGCAAAGTGATTCGTCCTTTTCCCGAACACTCTGCACTAGTAGAGGATAATAGATACAGATCGCCCTAGGATTTGTCTCCAGCGCCACTATACACTATCGATAAACATTTGAGTAGAAAATGACGCTTCTAGGACAGGCTTTGCGAGGAGGTTGTGTCTTGCCAGGTGTTTACGAACGACCTATGGCAGCAGTATCCGTATCAGCAGTAACAAAGGTGAGACAGCTGTGAAGCTGTGCTCAGTACTAACACAGGTCCTGTTTTTGTAGGGTACAGAGGACGCTTTTCACTAAATGGCAAAAATAATGGCCAGCCTGTGATATGGGCAGACCCATCTTGGAATGCAGCGTCACCCGGCTACAAATCGCATAACGGTGGCTCACTTACCCCGCCAAATATAATTTAATATCATCTTCATTTCGGAGATAACATAATCTATACACAAAGGTGTATGCAGGTTCTAGAAGTGCGCTCAACTATTGTACCAAGCGATGCAACTGTTCAAGCTAAGGTATATCAACACTTGTGCACTTCGATGCAGCATGAATAAAATTAATTCTACTAGATACTTTTGACATACCCGACAACGAAGGCCCCTGGCGGTGGTGCCATGGCCGAATTGTTTCCGGAATGTTTGACGGAAGGTGAATAACTTCAGAAACTACTGGTCGACTTTCTCGGTAAATGTTGAATTTTGCTTCAACACAAGAAGGATAAATAAAAAAAATATAAATAATTAATATTTCCGCTTGATACATTCCGCCATTTTCAACTATTGAGATTCGCGGGAACTGGCACGATCTTCTTTTGCTTTTCCGGGAACGTTGGCCACAGCCGCTTAGAAAGTCGACCAAGCGAGTGCATAGATATAATAACACCGCTTTCTTTTGTACTCACTGTCTACTCATGTAAGTATGTGTTGGTAGTATTGAATCTCCATCCTAAGGTAACTCTTCCAACCGCGAATTGTCAGAGCGGTAACGGCACTAATATGGACATGAAGATCGCGCTCGTCTGACGATACAGCAAGAGTAAGACCACACAACGGAGCATGGTGCATCTATAGCTCTATCGGCTGATTGGCAGCAAGATCGCCGAAAAGCGCCCAGCTTGGCAGTGGTGACGAAGCGAAGTTCTGGGCATAAATTCACGTCGTGGCAGAGTTTGCTCTACGGAAATGCTGTTTACTCGGCCGTGATTGAACGTGCGGGCTTCTTTTGGACGTTGAGCCAACCGCACGCATAACTTAACCGAGCAGTTTTACGGCACTGCATCCTTTCTCTCCAAGAATTCGCTTGGAGAACAAAGGAATAGAAAATGCATGCCTTTTATTTTGAGCCATATACAACTATCAAGCCGAGTCCGGGCGGGTAAGAAGGTCAACGGCTCAGGGATGCGCCGTACCGATTAACGATCTTTTGACCAGAAAGCATCTAAGTATTAACAGTCAGACGGATTCTCATCCATATATCATTTCATCCATATATCTACTTTTTACGCAGCTCTGAAAGGAAACTTACTACAGGGAAATATGCGTTATTCATTTAGAACTTAATATAATGTTCGGTTATGTTTTCTAAGTTTGTGTATGCATCTGCAAATATTTTAATAACAACAGATAAAAGTACGAGATTTTTAGATAGTAATTAGATTTATTTATTCACTTTATTTGAATCATTCGACAACTAGCAACAAGTATAGAAGATTCGCTGTAAGTAAGCTACAGGCTTTGGTTTTGCTTGAGATTAAATTGCTTTTTGCAATAATAAAGGTGTCAGCTTATATTTACTAAATTTAATACTCTATGTCAAGCGAGTTTAATTGCCTCTATTTACAGTTTTGTTTGCATCCATTTTTTTTAATCTCTAACCAGCTTTGACGAGAACTTTTGTTCTGAACTTTATACTTTCTCTACAGCGAGCTACAAGAAGCCTGCGAACAATGAAACACACTTACTTTTTATATGGCCTATTATATGAGCTTAAATAATTGGCCATTCATTTTACAAGAAGGTAGTTGCCATGAGATTATTTTTTATATAAAATTAAAAATTCTCAACAGCTAGTTTTTAGTCGTGATACTAGCTGTTTACTATTGTTGTATCAATCGATGAGCGTTGACAGTGAATGCTGCAGCGTAAACATGTGGGTGACGAGCTCTAATTTTGGTCAAGCGAACTAGAAAGCGACGCGAGCTCAAAGCTGGCTGCGTATAAAGTCACGTGATGGCTCGCATAGTAAACAGATTGAATAAGCACAGCATGAGCAAGCGCTGCAACCATGCCGAAGAACACGGTCTGGTCTCATAATTGGCACCTTGGGCCAATTATGCAAAAGGTCGGGTCTTCCTGCCTTGAAATCTTTCCTGGAATATATTTGAGGAAAGATTTCAAGATAGGGGATGTACCGAGTTGCGATGGGCTTTCGGTCACACGTCACTTAATACTTGATAATAATACTTAATACTTGCAGGCTTTGTCGTCATGAATAACTCTTAGGAGATAGTTTTACATGCTTAGCTTGGCTTCGCATCAACAATTGTTCAGGCTAAAGGTTTGCCGACAAAGAGACATGGAGCGAAGTCACCAGAACAAATCGAACAATAGCTATGTGGCTATCGACATGTTGCAGACAACACGATATAGATGCGAAACAAGTCCCCGTCAACATTCGCTAGTTCAAAGTGCGGCGTGTCTATTTTTA